ACAAAAGAAATGTTAGTAACATCATCCACAGAGCCTTTTTTGGGTAGATCCTCCGGCTTGAAGCAACTGAAGCATTTATAAAAGACACTACAGAGGCAGAGTCTACCTACCATGTAACGTTTTTAAGTCAACCAAGACAAAGATTGAGCTTTAAGAGGAGTCAATGAGGATTTCAAACGTATCCATACCATACCAACTGATAAGCATGGTAATAAAAGCAGCATGCTGAGGGCCTGTTTTACTGAAAATGCATTGCACAGAGTGGGTGAAATAATAAAGGAGAAAAAGCCCAAAATTATTCAAGTTTTGGGTTACTCTTTAATTCATTACTGCACTTAAATTCTTCCTCAAATCAACAACTAGCTAAATCTTAAAATGGCAAAATCTTTATACTGAGTGAAATTTGGTGGATTATGGTAAAAAAATAAAAATACTGTTCAGTGCCAGACAGCAACATTTTTAAAGAAGCTCCAGCATTTCTGAAAAGAAGAGAACGGATAAAAGATCCAAGTCGTTTTATGGTAGGAGCTTTATGATGGCCACAAAAAGCAAGTGGTTTCCCTGCAACTTGCTAGTGGCCCTCAGAGAAAGCCCTGCATGTGTACCCAAACTTCATCGCCCGTTTTTAAAATTCATTGAAGTTGCAAGTATTAGTATGGCATGACATGTTTTATTGCACTCAAATACATAAAATTGGTTGGCAGATTTACGCTTTTTCATCTTTTTTAATCATCCCTTGGCGTTCAGTCACTTGCTTTTTCTTGCGTTACTCTATCGTTATTATACAGCTTCCACACTCACTTAAATTACAGGGCTTTGCTTACTTTTTGCTTCGTAAATCTTTATAGGACACAATTTATTTCACCAAAGCAGTGAAATCCTTCATTTAAATGTCAGACTTCACTGTTTTGTTCCTCAATTAGTCTCCTACTACGAGTCCCACGGATAAAGGAAAATCCCACTGTACGCAGCCTGTTTGAGCTGCCAAACAACGTCAGAGTCAAAGTGTTTGAGTGGAGCTCAAATCCTTCTCTAATTACAGCAATTCCCTTCTGAAAAATCTCCATCCTCTCTGAGTGAAAGCTACATTGCAGGAAAGACCACAGTGTAGAATGTCCCGCGGAGAGAAAGAAAGAGCACATGCGGAAACACATAGACACACAGAATGACGGACATCACAGTTCTTTCATCCATCACACTTTTTTTTCTTTTTTGCTCTCTGTTCAAAGACAGACATATTGGCCATTGTAGATATAGGACACACACAAATCTGTGCTGTTCAAAGACAGAAGGATTTGCCTCAGTGGTGCACAAAACAAAGACAGGAGTGAGCGCTCATCCTGAAAGCGAAGCAGCTTTCGTTTATGGACGTATACAGAAGCTTTTATCATAACGAATCTTTACCCATATCCAACCAGACTAATGGGATGTACAGGAACACGTGACTTACATCCTTCACACCTACACACACACACACACACACACACACACACACACACACACACACACACACACACACACAGCTACAGTGCAGAGAAAAGGATTTACCCCAGTAAAGGTTCCTTCTTTTCTGGTTTTTCTGTCACAATGGAATGTTTCAGATAATCAAGCAAATTTTAATATCAAAAATAACTTGAATAAATGCAAAAGTCTGTTTGCAAATTATGATTTACATAATTACTGGGGAAAAGGCTACCCAAATCAATACTATGTGAAAAGGCTGCAGGTCACTGCTAGACCTGCAGCATCACAACAACACCTTAAGCAAACCTGTCCCAACACAAAGCAGGCTAAAATATTTCAAAATCCAAAATGTTGGTTCCCAATCTAAAGAAATTTAAGAATGGATGGAAAAACAAAGTTACTGACAAGTGTGGAAAGCAAAGTTGGACCTATTGGATGGACAGTAATCCTTTACATCCACAGCAAAACTAGAACAGCATTTCAGAAAGCAGAAGATCAGCTAAAACAGGGTGATGGTGGTGAGGGCCGTTTGCTGCTTTGGGATCTGGAAACTTTCTGTGTGTTCATGGTGCTGCAACCAATGATACCCCACTGGAAACTTGCAGCTACAATCTTGGTTTAGGAAACTTTGTTGTTCTGATGACACAGCCTTTGCAGCAGAAAAGTTGCTTTGAATAGTTGTTTTTTTTCCCCCATTGTGTTTACTTTTACTCTTTATGTGTTAATAAAATGGGTTTGAGAATGTAGAACATTCAAGTGTAGTAAAAACTGAAAAAAAAAAACAAATTAAGGGTGCAAATACTTTTCAGAAGAAGATACTTCAGCAAATCCCACTCATGTCCCATTGGACAGATTCCCACTTGAGAAAATCAAACAAATCCCTCCATCTTCATTCTTTTGTCTTTTCCAGGTTATGTTTGTTTAGCCTCAGCTTATTTACAACACAGACACTTTGAGCTTCAGCTTATGCAAGAAGATGTAATCAGCTGCTTTCTCACACCACATGATTAGAGGAGGCCGAGTTTACCTAGGTTTAACTGAGGGCTCGGATGCTTCGGCAATCCTTTTAATTTGTAGGAGATTCATCGTAACAAGAACTAAGAGGCCAAAACCTAAATCCTGTTTTAATTACAAGCAGATCTTTGCTTTCTCATTACTTGCGACCGTCACGATTGTTGCTGGCGAACAACAAATCACCCTGAATGGGTCACAGTGTTAAGCCCCACCCTGTTTGGTGAAGCTTAATGCCTCAAGACGATTCCAAGAGCATCGAATCCACCCTCTGTCACAGAGACATCGTGCTGAAATCCTCCCATCCTCCAGTGAGGCAACCCAATCCCACTGCCGCTCCCACAAGGTTAACACATACAGCTTAACTACTGACAGCTGATGCAGCACCTCTAGAAATCCGTGATGTTTAAAATCCATGAATCATCAACTTTTTATTGCTGAGTCTAAGCTCTGGTTCATCGTTCATCAGTGTGTGTTTATTCGGTCTTTTTGTAAAGTGAATGGAGAGAAGAAACAGGGGAAATAAAACAAACGCTCTGCAGTTCTTAGCCAATAAATAGCTAACATTTCATTGACTTCCTGCCATCCGTTCTCATTTATCACAAGGCTGTTAAATCCATCGACAAGGTTTTCCAACATCTACCACATGGATCTCACTATGGTTACCAGATCCGTCCACAGGGCCAAGAAATAACTAGTTTGGTTGGGATCTGAAACTGGGATTTGTGCCATCTGACGATCACAAGCACTTCCAAATCCGCAGCAGGGGCTGATGCCGACAATGAGTCAATTTATGACAGGGAGGATGTTCTTGGTTGTGAAAGTAATACGCCAACAAATATTTCAAAGATGTTGGCAAAAGACCAAGAGGAAATAAATTTAAAAGCAATAAAATGATTCCCCATTGGAAACTTGCAGCTACAATCTTGGTTTAGGAAAACTTTGTTGTTCTGATGACACAAAAAATATCTGCAACTAAAGGATAAATGTCCTTTCTGTTTGTGCGTTTTTTAATAATACCGTGTGACAGAAACAGATTGTTTGCCAAGAAACTGGCAAACAAAAGGCAGATAGGAAATGTGGCCGTCTCCCATGGGACACCATGATGCGAGAAGCTGGGTGACTTGCATTCACGTTAAGTAATTTCCTATAATCTACTGATTTTTTTATATGGCAAGGAAAAGTGATTGTATGACTCTGAAACAGGAAATATACCAGCAAAAGGCAGATTAAAGCTTTTAATAAGCTACATCTGGGGTTATTATCGTCTATATTTCATAGGGTCAATCAACACAAACAGGGATCAGAACAGATTTAAATGGAATCATGGTGTAATACCAAGTTTTTGTAAAATGAAAGTATATGCAACATTTGAGAATTGTTACGACTCTTTAATTCATAAAAATACTTGACTATAAAAATGTTCAGATATCCCATACACAGCATCAGGACAATTTTAATTGAGATAACATTGTAAAAAAAAACTTGCTATAGAAATATCAAATGCATTAAACCAACATTGCCCTGACACTTTTCTTTAAAATGCAAAATGTCTCTAATACTCCATAAGCTACAGCACCTCAAGAGTTAAAGATATACATCTGTTGTTGCCATTAAGGGCAGTAGGGGTCCATCAAACTGGCTAAATGTGTTGTCAATATGCAGAATATGAATGCCTAGCAACTTAAATATAATATTTTATCCAACATTTCATCCACATGAACTGCAATTTTCACACTCATAATTTACAATGATGATTATGATTTAATAGACTGTGCAGCTTCCCATATAGGTATGAAATGGTTTGTTTATAAAATGGATGAAGGAAGAGACAAATTGACAACTTATGGCCATTAAATTAGGCTGTAAACTAGCAAACTGACTCAAAGCTAAAGCCATTCAGTTTGTTTATTTCGTTTACTTAGCTTAGCCAAGCTGGTGCATAAATGAGCAATAAAATCATTACCAAGCCTGCAATAGTAATCAGTGAAGTCACAGAATCCAAGGTTAACCTTAAACTAGTGCATCAAAAGCTTGGTTTATTCAGCTTAACCCATTCCCTCATTCATTTTTTCACCTACAAAATGGTTTGACTACTATTTCATTATGAGCTTTGCTTCTCCCCTATATTAGTTTTATTTCAGTTTTCCAACAGCAATGAGAGCAACCTTACAAAATACAAAATAAACCAAAAAGCATGTATGAAAAGGGTAAGAGGTTTTCTCTCATTGCATCTCAAAGCTCTTAAAGTCATCAAGTGGCAACAATTCACAAGTCTAGAGAGACCTTGTGTTGAGAGAGGAAGGTGTGGTGATGAGGACCTCAGACACATTTTCATTCTGAGACCAGACATTAGCTAATAATTTAATAATACAAAACAGAAAGAAAATCAAGAAGTGATTTCTCTACTACCTAATCAACAGGAGATTAAAAAACAAAGGATGAAAGAAGAGTGAAAGTAACAAATAGTGTCTGGATATAAAACAGTCAGATCACAAAAACTCTGAGCACATGTTTCCTCTTACCGGAGTGTGTAAACTGCAGCCTTGGTTGAGCTGCTCGCCACGCTCCCGTCAGAGCGCCTCCGAGGTGGGCCAGCAAGACCGCTGTCAGCAGCCAACACATCTTCCTCCTCATCATGCGCACTGAGCGGTAACCTGACAGATTCAGACAACTCACTCAGCTCCAGAGTCTCCTTCCTGAACCAAGTCCTGCACTCTAAAACCACTAACACACCTCACAAAATAAAACAAAGTTTGAATCTGCAAGGAGTTCAAGTCTCTAAGAAGCCAAATCCAAAAACAGTTTTTTTTAACAGTCCAAGTGTGTCCGCCTCTCCTCCATCCAGATCCATAAAATAATTCCCTCCTTCTACGAGCGTCACCCACAGCCCGTCTGCGTGTTTGTGAGTTTACATGCGCGTGTGGGCTTCAGAGATGAAGAGGAGAATGTATTCCAAGAAAAGGCTGAGGCGTCTCTCCGCTGCCTCCTCGCAGCTTGACAGCTCTCTGCTGTTCATGTGTTGCCCCAGCTCCCCTCTGCATGTGCTTTTTCTCTTTCTCTCTGTGGAAGGCGGAGAATGAAGAGATCCCAGATCTTCGTGACCACCCAGCATACACACACACACACACACACACACACAAACACACGCATACGCGCACCCACGCAAACACACACACACACAAATGTGGACAAGCTTGGCTATTCAGTGTTCTGGGAAAACCTAGTTGAAGTGGAAATGAGACAGACAAATCAGTTTGCATCATTATTCACGTCTTCTCCACTGCTTTTTTTTTCCAACCCCCCAACCTCTTGCTTGTAATATTGTTTTCTCCTCGGTGTGTTATTTATTGTAAGGTGTATAAATCTAATAGCTTGGAATGAGACACCAAGATTGATTTAGAGAAGCAAAACAAGACAAATTCAGTTAACTCTAAGTTTGTTTCATGGATGCGGCTCCGTCAGACACAACAGAGTTGTGTGCAGCGTGCTTTGCCCTCATGGGAAACGGAAGATAATTGCTGCCTCAACGTCACTGTTGGTTTGCGAGTTTTTAAGTAAAGCTAAAACAAAACTCAGGAGTTGCTTTGTAATTACAGCAGAAAACCTGCAGTGCAAAATCTCCGGACCTTTTCTAAAACAACCCTCCTTTCTTTCAGCTCCCCACTATGTTTCTCATTATTTCCTTCCACTCCTAGCCCACATGCATTCATTAAAACTTCTCTCTGTTTCTCTTGTTTTCTTTAGATACCAGCTCACTGGGGTACGTGTGCGCGGGCTGAATTTTTCACCAGCTGAAGTTCAATTACAGGCTAGTGGGGACAATTTATTCGCTCCCCGGAATAAATAATGAATTTAGGTTGCGTGCAAATGAAGTCGATGCTCCCTGAGGGTTTGGAGGATTTGTGAATGATTTATTTTGCAGGGTTGTTTTTTATTGGGTAATTAGAGCAGTTTCCCCCCCACCAATGAAACTATTTAAATATGTGATTAATACAATTACAGTCACTTAATCTTATGTTTTTATACCTTAGTTGACATTTCAGTTTGCTTTAAATAAGTGGGACTTAATCTGCTTGTTAATGAAACAATCAAATTGGTATAGAGAGAAATTTGCCGCCATGTTGTCGTACAGAATAACTAACGCTCCCCTTGGGAAGACGCTCGCTGCTTTAAAAGTGACCTCTAGGATGTTTCTGCAGCTGCTTGCTTTGGTAATTAAGATTAAATGATTGTGTTTGCAGTAATGAGGAAAAACCTCAATTACAGTTCAGTTAAAGTCAATCGTCTGTTTGAGAGGTTGGCGTAGTTTTGTATAATTTACAGAGTTGCTGTTATCTGTGCAACGCCAGCTAATGATTCTAGGATTGCTCAAAAATTCCCAGTCCCCAGATAAAACAAAAATAAAACACATAAATTAATTATGAAGCGATGTGTTCTGTTTCCAAGGTTTTTATAAAACTTTCAACTGTTGCTGATATGAGACAATCTGATTTATCTTTAAAAAAACTAAACTAATAAAAACTGTGCTGAAACGACTTTTTTTGCCATAAGAAGTCATCCATTATTTATAATAAGGGCATAGATGACTTCTCACAGTCTGTGTGTCATTTCCAACAAAGCAGTTCTGGTACTAAACCAGGGCTGGTGCCTCAACCAGTTATTAACTGGTTTTATAAGAGAGCTAGATTGGTTTACCACAACCAGAGAGCCAACTCAGAGCCACGTCACTGTGTCACCAAAAACGTCTGAGGCAGTAAATGTTTCATCCTCCCTCTGCCTTGAAGGTCCATGAAAATAGTTTAACTACACAAAACCTCTTAAGTATCTAAGTACTGCTCCAACAGACGCCAGTGAACCCTAATGCCACCATCCTGCTTTATTAACACAGCTTTAAATAGCACAAAATGTGGGTAAATGCTTTAAAATTATTTGTCACATAATCCCGGTTCTGACCTGCACCAGCAGCAGTGGAAACGGGAGTAAAACACAATGTAACCATTTAAGAGATTCATTAATAACACCCAGAGACAACAAAAGACTGGCAGAGTTCAAGAACTGAGTTGTTTGTGATATTTATGGATTGACGGGAAATTATCTGCTGTAAGCTCAACGCATACTCCATGCATGAATGTAAAGCTAATTTAATTTTCTTTTCATGCCTTACAGTTTTTACATCTCTGAGACTGAAAATAAACTGAAAATCACTTGTGCTGTAATTCTTTCAGCCTGTTTATCTGCTGTCCCGGTAAAAAAACAGCCCCTTGTTCTATTCTTTGTTTCGTACAGAGAGTATGTACCATCACAAAAACTGGACCGTCGTTTATTGAGAAACAACTACCTGATAGAGATGCAGACTCTGCTGAAGCATTGAATTTTGTTTGCCATAGCCTGAGTGAAGCGCAGACATGTTTTGGAAAATCAAACCTCCTTAAAAACTAGCTTGTTAAAACACTTTTACTGGTGAATTGAATCTTCTTCCCTCAGTAACAGCGTCCACCCTGAAAGAGTGTTGTTACCGGGATCTGGCCGTGCTCAGGAACAGTAGGTTCACTGATCAAGAAAAGACCGACTGGCTGGTCACCGTTCAGAACCGATCAAGCTGAAATTAACTGATCTGGTCAGCAGCTGAATTCTCTGCGCAGCTATAATTTATGGTGGTGCTGAGTGCTAAAATCAAACTGCACACTTTCCCAAACCTTTGCAGACCATGCAGGAACTTTGCACCTGTTCATAAAAGCCAGGAACATCTTCTCAGTCAATGCAGGTAATGCCTTGTTCAAAAACTTCTTGTTCTTCTAGTTTGTTGGTGCTTTCTGAACTATTCTGAGGAGAGATGTGCAATAATGCAAATGTATGGCATTTTTAGAAACACTGGTTTAAAAAAATAAAATAAATAAATAAATAAATAAATAAACACTCTGTGTGACGTTCCTCTTTGTGAAACGGCCCTAACACACAGACAGAGATCTCCTAAACTCACAGGCCATTAACAGGGGATAATTTGAAGCTCGATGCCAACATCATCAGTCGGCTTGTTAATTACAATAAATGAATGTCCAGTGAGCACGGACAAAAAGCTTCTGGTTCTGGGCAAACAAGTGACCTAAATTAGTCAATTAGCATTTGAGCTCTAGCTTTTGCTCCCGTTGTGGCAAGTCTCTGATCCCACCGTTGCTTTTCTCTTAGAACCACATAAACATACGCACTCACTCCCACTAGCTCATGTAGATTCCCTGTGTCTCCTGCATAAAGGGAGAATGGAGCAGTTAATGAGTACGCAATGCCATCTTGTTCTGTTTGTTTTCTGACCTAACATGACCAATTCACAGTTGTCAATTACTGGCACAATGGTTCTTTATGGAAAATATCTCTATTAGTAATATGCTTGATGTTTTAGTTGATTAATATGCAATTGCTAAATCCAACTAAACTTAAAAGTTGCAAATTAAAAAAAAAAGTCCATAATTTTTATTTTCCACTCTATGCATAAAGTTGTTACAGAACTAGAGAGCCCTTCAGTGACATCCTGCATGCAAAAAATTGCATTACCACAGATCCTTCCTCCCAGGACCAGTGAGGTGTTATAATCTCAACAAACTCAATAAGTGTTGACGTCCCTGCTGCCGTTTGCAGATTTCCCATGTCTTGTAAATTGTTGTTTTTATGCACAATCATGTTCAATTCTATTCTACATCTATTATGTACATCAGAGGCCCCAAGCCCTGCTCTTTACTGTTTTTCTTATATTATAGGTGCTTCCCTCCATCTGCGCACCTGGCCTAAATGTGATTAACAATAACGGACTTCTACAGAAGTTGGGGGCATAATATTGAGATAATGTAATCATTTGACGCAGGTGGGCTGGAGTGGGAAACATCTAAAACACGCAGGACATTGGGCATTGGGTTTGGAACCACTGATGCACATGATTTAGTTGTTTTTGTAACATTGGGTAATATTAACATTATAGCACGATGATAAATTTCAGCAGCTGAGCAGCACACTCTTGGTCTCTGAATATCTTCTTTGTGCTGTGCCATATATTTAAACAGGGGGCCAACAATGGATGGCAGGCAGGCCAATCAACCGCAGACAGAGTGGGTCTATGAAGCAATGCTTTTTTGAGTTATGCCGCATTGAATCTGACTACAGCTACAAAACGACAGAAAGACGCCACATTTAGAGTAGCATTTGTCTATTCAAAGCTTACAAAGTCTGCCAAAAACAAATATGGATATGCATGAGTGATTCCTTCGTGCATTTGCAAGTTACCCATGGTAACTGATGCACCCCCATCACAACACAGATGCTCGTTTTAGCACCTTTTTCCGATGGAAGCCTGGATGGTCTTTCTCATCATGGCTACATACATTCAAATGTTAGTTTTTTCCCACAAACAAACCAATACTGAAATATGGACCTACCGACTTATTTACGCGCCTCAAATGAACTTGTCTGTTGTGATGGACAGATGTCTGGAGTTTGTTTGTAGAGGTTGATATATCTTTTTCTCTTCTGGTATCTGTTGAGATATTATTTGCACAAATGAATGTTTTTCAGATTAAATTCTTTGTTGCATATTACTTATTTTCCAGACCCAAACAAGCATTTAAAGCATGGTTTGCAATGGTTTGCTGCAAACAATAGCAGATAAATCTGCAGCAGACCAGCTTTAAATATGAAACCTCTAAAACAACAGAGTATGGAAGGGGGACTTGGTAGATGGATGGATTTATTCAAATTTTTTTCTTCCATAGAAACCTTGTAACTACACATTCTTAACAATTTACCTGTAAAATATGACTAGATATATTAGGATTGCAAGTTTTCTCATAAGACACTAGCAATAGAGACAGTACACTTTGTCCTACTAGTGTCTCATAATATTTTCAATCGAGTCTTCTAATATTTTCATATGAGGGGAACCTTTCAAAATACGTGCTAACTTTATGAAAGAAAATGATTGCCTTAACAGCGCAATAAAAGGTATCCTACAGAGCTACATAATAACAGCGGGGCTATTTGCTAAACTGAGATATTGTGATAGACACATTTTGTTAGCAAAAACATTAGCTACAAGTTAAGTAAGTCATATAAAAACATAACCTTAATAGTTTCGAGTCGTTCTCAACTGAAGCCATGAGACAGTGCTGCCATCTAACGCTAATTAGAACCGCTACACTCAGCTGTTCTGATTCAATGAGATCTCGCGATACTGGAACATT